CATGCCTGTCAGTCAGACGGGCCTATTCATATTTATTTTACTGGAGTTAGCCGGGAAATATATATTTATTTCTGCTTATTTTACGGTATTACCTAAATCTTTTATTTGTGTAGTGTTTTTGTTTATAAGTGCCTGAATCTTGTCGTGAAATCTTCTTCCTCGCTTTCTTAATAGCTTAGCGGTCAGCATTGATCAGGCCTAGTTACCGGCTTTCAAGCAATAATATTTCGATCAAAATTACCTTTCAACCAGATCTCAATGGGAAAAGCGAGCGCTCCTTCTCTGTTGCGAATTATTGGGGTACTTTCATTTTTCACTTTATGCCTCCACGCGACTAGTCTCCATGAGAGCACGATAGTCTTCTCTGGTCCTCTTGCCAATTTGCTTCTTTGTCTCTGCATTCTTTTCTGCTTGCTGCTCGCTTACCGCTCATTTTCCCCTTTTGCCTGCATTTGTTTCGCCCAACATCCGCTCCCAATACACCACATCACTCCCACCACACTGCCTGCTTCCTCCAATCCGACCCCTCTCCCACGTCCCTAATATCCACCTGCCCCTCACCCGTCTGCCATACTTAATGTTTTCGACTATTCGTCTCACTGCAGTGCATATTCTTTTATGTTTTTCACTTTCTTCCATTCAAACCTTCTCTTGTCTTTTCTTTGGTCCCTACTTACTTTGCAATTTAACGCTCATTTTCTTACTATTCTCTTCGTTTGATCCTGACACCTCTTTGTTAATTATTTTAATTTTCTGTTCATGCTCTTTTATGTTATGCTTAGCTAATTATACTCGGAATTTCATATTAATTTTATTCTAATTTTCATTCTTCTCGTTCATGTTTGAGCCTCTTGCACGCCACGCATTCTGCATTTTTACCCTTTATGTCGCCTTGTTCTTTGGTCATCACAAACTCATGTTCGCTCACGCCCAAGCATTAATAATTACATTTGCTCGTTTCTTTTTACTCGCAAGTCTTGATTAAGGTGTTTTCTTATCTTTTTTTCACATTTTTCAAACCTCCATGTTTCAACTGCCATACGTGCTTACTTAATTTTTATTACTCTTTTCTATTTAATCATGCTTTCTTTCATCTCTTCTCATTTCTCATTCTCTCGTGACACGTTTTTCCAAAATGTGTTATTACGCCTATCGCACTCGAAAATATCTCGAAATATCCCATTCCTATTTTACTTTCTTTTCCATTCCCGCCTTTTGCATGCGGCGAAATTTTCATTTGCTCTCGATACGCTTTGACTTGCCACGCAACTCCTTGACGCTTCTCGCTACACCATCGCGTTCCATCGCTACTTTCTATTCTTAATATTTCACTTGGCATTTTTTCGGACTGGCGTATCCATCTTATTTGCCCTGCGACACCTTTTTGTGATCATGGGACTTGCTGCTCTGCTCTTCCTATGCACTTTTATTTCGTTTCCCTTGTACAATGTGACACCATTCTGTTTTACTTCCATCTTGCTCTTGCTGTCTTGCCCTTCTTTTCTTCTTTATCATCATATTTTGACCTGTTCTATTACATCCTATTTTGTTTTTTTAAATTTTTGTTCTCTTCTGTTCTGTCTTTTCCATTCCTGACTGTCTTCTCTCTTATTATCTTTTCCTGTATTATTATATTTTTTCCTATCTTATCTTAAATTGTCTCGTCTCGTCTCGTTTCGTTTCATTTCATTTCGTCTCATCTCGTCTCGTCTTGTCTTGTCTTGTCATATCTTGTCATGTCCTGTCCCGACCCCATCTGTATTGCTCTGTCCCACGTTGTTCCCCACTTCCCACATTTTCTCGCCCATCCCTATTACATTTGCCATATCTACCCTCCGTCCCGAGTAGCAATTAAAACAGCATCTGCAGCTTCTCCTTTTTGCCGGGGCCGGTCAGAGCAACACCTTACGTGCTGCAGGCATTGATCAACTTAGCCCGGCCGCAAATGGCCTAGCAGCCTGTGGATTTGGAGAAGTCGGGCTTGCTGGATTCTTAGCCGGAAGGCAGCAGCAACAGCAGCAGCGTCAGAAAACGCAGCAGTTGAGTGGCATCATGACCTCGGGTAACGGGCGGTCGTTGGCCGGAATGAAACGGCACATGATACCCAGCTCAATCGGGGAATTTGAGGAGACAATGGCAGCTGATTCAGGCATAACTATGGCAGTCAATGTACCTGGTGATCCAAATGCTATGGTATTTTCGTTTATATGTCCCAATTACAAACACGCATGTGAATATGAATTCAGACATTGGGAGGATATCCACCACTTACTAAGCTCTACAGTAATATTATGGCTGCTAGTTTTAATTATTACAGACATTCCCTCTACTATAATTATTGATTTTCACTGGCTCATCCTCCCCTAGAATCCAGGATCCGTTCCGCGTAATAATTTTATTTTGAGATACACTCTTTAGGGGTCTCATCTACTGCAGGAGGACAATAGTTACTTGCTCAAGTGACGAACCTCTATCTACACCCAAACGAG